GGGGGGGCTCAAATTCCTGACGTAACTAAAGCGGTTTATACCAAGCGGTTGCACGAGGTAATCACTGTTTTAAATCTCGTGACTCCAGCCAGTAATAATGATGTAGTAACACTCGTGTGTCTATATACAGCACCGAACTTTTGGCCAAACCTAGACTATTGCCACAGCTGTTCCAAATGCTGAAATGCAACTCTTAACATCGCGTTAAAAATAGCAGTTTCATATCCGTTTTAGATTAAGTTGAGTAAGCACTCAAAAATGGCAAAACCACTGTTCTTCATTTTGGTGTTGAAATTTGTTTGTAGGTAGGATCAAAGCTACGGGTATCGAAACCCCGTTTCTAGCGTTGTAAGTCTACAGACGTAACGCTGTGCCACGGGGGGGGGAGGCTGGTGTCGAAGATGTAAAACATTGAGAAAACAGAAGAGGGCCGACACGAAAGAAATATCCCCGAACTAGGGTTAGATAACTGTACAAGAGATACTGGTATTTTAAAGATTTTCTCAGATAATTTTTCAGCCACTGGATGAGGACTTATGGAAGATGTGATATAATGTAATGACGTTTTAAATAATTCTAAAATAATAATTGAAACAAAAAGTATTGATATCTGATCAAAATATTTAACAAATCTGGGGTCCGATTCCACAAGGTGGACAGGGCACAGGTAGCTCATTGTGCAGTATTGTGCTAAAAGAACATTTAATATGTTATGTAGATTGAGAAATCAGCTCAAAATTGTGTGTAGAAATGGGTAAGTTAAACAAGTAAATATCTGGGAACAGTTGGCCCCTTTTAATATTCATGTTACTGCTTGTTGCTGTTGCAATAAACAAGGGGTCACTCAAATTTTTCTTATTTTTTTTTCATGATTTACCTGCTTTTACATGGTCGTCTCTTATATATAACTTGGCTGTTTTGTACATGTGAAAATGTTTTGATCAGATCGAAATTAAAGCAAGAACACCAAAACTAAATGATTAGTTTTCAATTAAATTATTAGCACTTGCATGTTTCTTAAATCTGATATTTTGCTAATTAGTCAATTATAGTGGTATTTTTGGAATGGGATTAGGTAAACAACTTGTCACCAGAGGGGGCCACTATGATAGCTATGCATGTATTTTTTATTATTTTTTTTTGGTTTAGCGAAGTGTGAATCCGACGATTCATGGTTCACGACCCGTCGCATCAAAATCACGCTCAGGGGTTGTAGGCGAGCTATAAGAGCGACGGTAAAATCCCACTAATCGTTAGTCGGTTGGTGCTGTTCTATATCTGCCTTTGCCTATTAGTGACAAATATGCACAGATAAATCTCGTGTAGCTTTGCGTGAAAAAGTCTTAAACAAGAAACATTAGTCACTAAACTAGTCCGACAAAGATAAAATTAAATAGTTTTGACTATAACACTGAAGTTCTCTTCTCACCCCACCCAACCCCAGACATTAATTTAGTCAGGTTCGTGAGAGTCTAGGTTACAATAATAACTTGTACGGGTTTAAAGGATGAACGTACATCACCTAAGGAAAGTTATATATATATATATATATATATAGGCTGAGTACTGTTTTTAAGAGATGATTTTTACATCAGTGCCTTTAAGCTGACGGTTAGGGGGCGCTAGGCTCGCAATATGCGGGGCTGCGGATTCGAATCCCATCACCGAACATGCTCGCCCTTTCAGCCGTTGGGGTGTTATAACGTAGCAGTCAATCCCAGAGTTCGTTGATAAAAAGTAGCCCAAGAGTTGCCGGTGTTGACCTTCCCTCTAGTCTATCACTTCGAAATTAGTTACGACTAGCTCAAATAGCTCTTGAGTAGCTTTGCACTTAAATCAAGCCCCCCAGTAGCACAGTGGTATGTCTGCGGAATTACAACGGTAGAATCCGGGTTTCGATACCCGTGGTGGGCAGAGCACAGATAGCCCATTGTGTAGCTTTGTGCTTAATTACAAACAAATCGGTCGTTAAAATCTAGGAATTTTTCATTTCTCAGTCTGTTTCAGCGAACACTAAAAGGATAACAAAATGAAGGGTGAATAATTTCCACAGCAACGAAGAAACCAATTGTTTACAAAGCCAAATAAAACAAAAAATTGTTTAACAACCTTTTACAAATTTGCGTGACGAACTTCGGATCTACGGGTCCAATGTTTGAGTTCCGTTACCGCTCTGCACTTTGGGGCCACGATAAAGGGGGGGACGTTCAAATTCCACTTTTCGATTAGAGTAGCACAAGAGTTGGCGGTGGGTGGTGTTGAGTTGCTTCTTTCCCTCTGTAGTGTACCAGTTCAAAAGTAGGAATGGCTAGCGCATTGCGCGAATATCAAAAAAAAAAAACAAACACAGAAGTTTTAGTTTTCTGCAATTCGTTTTTAATTGTTTGTTACTTTCGGAAAGTGTGTTAATGGTGTGTACAATTTGTAATGGTGTTTTGAAATGAAACTGAAAAAAAAAATGTCGATATATTTATTTTATTTATCAATGACGATAGGTACACATACACGTGAGTTCCACAGTTATGAACCTACAATTAAATGTACAAACTCAGAACTCATCCATGGAACGTTTACATTCCTAAAAATATATATATTTACATTTTCTCATTTTGGTTTTACTAACACTTGTCGAGAAAAAGAGAGAGAGAGGAAATAATGCAGATCGTTAAACATCATCTAATCTAGTCTAAACGTTCAGTGTGCAGATGAAAATAAAGAACACAACTTTGGGCTATAGTTTGTTTTATAACCAGCAGTGAGCATTTTGGCGAAAAAGAATCGAAAAGCCCAGTCTATTCTTGGACTTGTCTCATATCACAGAATTAGTCCGGTTTTGAAATATTCCTCGTCAGATATCACGGACAAGAGTAAAGCTAGGAACAAGACTAGGCCTCTTATGGTGGTGGACTGGTTGGTGCATGTAATGACCTCATCGTAATAACCTCTACCAATGTAGATGTTTAAACACATACCTTAAGACTTAAATATTCACATTAATGTAGTTTACTTGTGGTGAATGAAGGACACAAAAACATCATTCAACATCTTGTTGTTGTTGACATTGTGTGTTTTCATAGCATCATTGTTCTCACCAGTGTTTGTACTCATAACGTTATTGTTGTTGAAAGTATTTGTATTCCCGCATTGTTGAAATTTACATTGTTTGTATTCACCATATTGTTGATTTTTACACTGTTGTTCTTACATTGTTTGTATTCACCACATTGTTGATTTTTACACTATTGTTCTTACATTGTTTGTATTCACCACAAAACAATGTAAGAACAATAGTGTAAAAACAACAATGTGGTGAATATAAACAATGTAAGAACAATAGTGTAAAAACAACAAAATATTCACCACATTGTCGCTTTTACACTATTGTTCTTACATTGTTTGTATTCACCACATTGTTTGTTTTTACACTATTGTTCTTACATTGTTTGTATTCACCACATTGTTGATTTTTACACTATTGTTCTTACATTGTTTGTATTCACCACATTGTTGATTTTTACACTATTGTTCTTACATTGTTTGTATTCACCACATTGTTGAATTTTTACATTGTATTAAAAAACTTAAAAAATGCTGCTGCTGAACTATTAAATTTCCCAAGCATTGTGCATTATATTCATCTATTCTATAATAGTACAGAAAACACCGAAACAGTATAAGAAGCTGGAAAATATAACATCTATAAAAATAATAACAAACAAACAAGTTTGATTCTTAAAAGTCCTAATTAACACTGATCAAACCAATTTCATAGGAACTTTTTAAGCCTAATGTTTTCAACGTAACATAACAATTATTATTATTATTATTACATCTACAAGTTTCATTTTTATCAAATTCAAAATGGCCAATAAATCATAGGAACATTAGCCAGTAATCTGATTGTATTTTAACTGAAAAAACTTTTATTGCAATGTCCACTGGCTGCCAATCCTTACGTATCACTTAGTAACACAAACGGTTGTCAACTCTTGCATATCACTTAGTAACACAAACGGTTGTTAATAGTTACATATCACTTAGCAACACAAACGGTTGTTAATAGTTACATATCACTTAGCAACACAAACAGTTGTCAATAGTTACATATCACTTAGAAACACAAACGGTTGTCATTAGTTACGTGTCACCATACTTGATAAAACCCCAGTGCACATGAATTGTTACTTCTGCGTTTCCTCCATCATCAACATATCTTATGGTTCAGTCTTTAATGCAAACGTTTTAATACGTAACAAGTTAAAAATAAATAACAAACATTTAGTGCTAAACCAACATTTTCAGAGTTCCTTTTGCTCAAATAGAAGAGAAATTTATTCCAGGTGGCTCTAAATAAATTCGGCCTAACGTGAGATTTAATATAAAAACAAAATGTATTGACATTAAATTGCGTGGCTTTTAAGTATCTTAGTTATTTGTTTTTTTAATTTACTGGAAGAGTACTTTTAATCTTTTTGTGATGATCTGTATATAGCTGGCTTAGTTTTAGTCACAAGTTCTTAATCATTTCTATACTTATATCAATATTTCTTTAATACACTTTATATCTCTAAACCCAAGTCTTTATATTCTTGTTTTGTCTTCTATACACAAATATAGCAGACAAAATGCATTTTTGATACGTTCCTGGATCTTGTACGAACTGGGAATTTTCGTTCTGACGTAACAAAACACTGGAAGTTGCAAACAGTGGCTGTTCATATCTCGGGATATGCCTGAAAAAAAAAGAGTGAAATAAATTCAATAACAAAACTACATTTTCCTCTGAATATATAGCTCGCAGTGCGAATAAAACGCAGCACGCAAATGATCAGTCACAGTCTATTCGGGCCGGTCGTGGCCTAGTAGTTAGCATGCTTTGACTGTGAATCAGAGAATTCATGGTTCGTAACCCGTTACCGGAAAAGTACCTCTACAGTTTGGTGCGGAGAGTGCGCTATAAGAGTAGCTGTCAACGTCCTGTTCTTTACGGTCTGATTTATCTTCACTTCTAGATACAAATCACAAAATCATTATGGGCTAACGTTGTGGGCTAAAAAGACAGTTTGGTATACTTTGGTTGTTTTTCGAATTTCGCCCAAAGCTACTCAAGGACCATCTACGCTAGCCGTCCATAATTTTGGAGCAATACACTACAGGGAAAGCAACTAGTCAACACAACCCACAACCAACTTGTGGGCTATTCTTGACGAATAATGGGATTTAACCGTCACTCTTATAACGCACTGATGATCCCATAGTATGGAGCACAATGTTTTTTTTTCACTAACGGGACGCAAACTGGGGACCCACAGTCTGCCAGTAACGTGACGCGAACCACGTACCCTCAGTCTGCCAGTAACGGAGCGCGAACCACGGGCCCACAGTCTGCCAGTAACGAAGCACGAACCACGGGCCCACAGTCTGCCAGTAACGGGGCGCGAATCATGGACCCACAATCTACCAGTAGCGTGGCGTGAACCACGGACCCACAGTCTGCCAGTGACAGGGCGCTAACCACGGGTCCACAGACTGCCAGTAACGGGTCGCGAACCATGGACCCACAGTCTGCCACTAACAGGGCGCGAACCACGTATCCACAGTCTGCCACTAACGAAGCACGAACCATGGACCCACAGTCTGCCAGTGACGGGGCGCGAACCACGGGTCGAAGTCTGCCAGTAACGGGGCACGAACCACGGGTCCACAATCTGGCACGCTAATCACTGGGGCACGCTTGGCCTGGCTTGCTTTGGATATTTACCCAAAGCTACTCAATGACTATCTTCACTAGCCGACCCCAATTTTGAACTAATAGATTAGAGGGAAGGTTTATGGGCAACACCACCAACCGACAACTCGTGGGCTACTCTAATAGATTAGTGGGAGTTGACTGTTACTATTATTACGCACCCACGGCCCCAAGGTTCGAAGCACGATTTTGTGGCAACGAGACGTGAACCATGGACCCTTGAAATCTGAGTCCAACACGATAACGACTAGGCAACGCCCATTCCATCTGTTAACGGATCTTTCAATAAAATGTATTTTCATAACTCGAAATGTAATGTGTTATCCGATAGGGAGAGGTCCGGCATGGTCTGGTGGTTAAGGCAATCGACTCGCAATCTGAGGGTCGCGGGTTCGAATCCCCGTCACCAAACATGCTCGTCCTATCAGCCGTGAAGTAGTTATAATGTGACGGTCAATCCCACTATTTATTAGTAAAAGAGTAGCCCAAGAGTTGGCGGTGGGTGGTGTTGACTAGCTGCCTTTCCTCTAGTTTATCACTGTTAAATAAGGACGGCTAACAGAGATAGCCCTCGTGCGCGAAATTCCAAAGAAACGCACAATAAAAACAACAACATCCAATAGGAACAACTTTCATACTTGAAAGTAAACTAAACCCTTTTTCACTCGTGTTTTCGTATAAACAAAACCTAAACCAGACATAAAACTCAAGAATAGATGGAAACCATCGTATTCAGCTGATAAAACATACTTATTTTTAATCGACTGACATTTCATTATTGCTAAGCCTCGTCATTATTTTTAATCGATTGACATTTCATTATTGCTAAGCCTCGTCATTATTTTTAATCGATTGACATTTCATTATTGTTAAGCCTCGTCATAAATGTGAACTCTGCTTTAAACTTAGAAATCATATACAATTATTATCAGTCTTAATTTATATACACTTTAAAAATCATATACAATTATTATCAGTCTTAATTTATATACACTTTAGAAATCATATACAATTATTATCAGTCTTAATTTATATACACTTTAGAAATCATATACAATTATTATCAGTCTTAATTTATATACACTTTAATTATTTTTTTTAAAATAGGTTCCAGAAGAAAAAAAGGGTAATTTCTTTAATAAAACCATCAAATATTTAACTTAATTCAAACCGACAACTTCAAACGAGGTCTGAAACAACGTGTAAAAATGTATCAGAAAATACTGAAACGAACAATTTTCTCGTAATTCGTGATAAAACCAAATCTCTAATTTTTAGTAATAAGTTCAGGTTCAAATGTCAGTAATTAAATGTACGGTCGTGTCACGAAAAAAAAAAACAACAAATAAACGATTATTAACTTACCTTCCGTGTAATAAGATTCGATTCTGTTGAATACAAAATATGTTTTTGTTGTAACAGACCATAAACATTTTAAAGTAAAGTAACTTACGTGGCGTTTCTAGAAATTTTCAGTTGAGGGAAGGGGGAGGCATAAGGGGGTCAAATTTAGTTTGGGGCCAGAAAAAATTATCACTTATATATCAGTGTGAGTCAGTGTTAAAAATA